AGCGCGATGGGCGGTTGCCGAGCTGGGGCGTTGGGGGTGCTGGGGGCGTGGGCTGTGCAGGGCACCCTTCTGCGCCCCTGAGACCTCTCCTGGGAGACGCCGCCCTCGGACTGACCTGGTGTTGCCCCTGTTGGGTGCTAGGACGCTGGTTTTTGGGCTCGGAAGTCAGAGGAGTTTTTTCTGTCAAGCTTTTAACCAAAGCTCCTTGTTCTGTACCCTGCCCAGAGGCCGTGCCTAGAACCGAAGTAACCTTCCAGCCCCGTGGGAAGGTGTGCAGGGACTTTCCCAGGGAATGGCCCTGCCCTGGAATTACAGGAGGGGGGCGAGCAGTGTTTTCCGATGCCCATGGTTACCCCTGCATCACCAAACAAAACCTAGTGTAGGTGGGTTGGGGTTTTTTCCCCCCTCTTGAAGGGTTTCCACCTCCTGGCTGTTTGGCTCTGGCAGCAGCTCTCTGGAGGCCGGTGTTTGGGTTGGGGGGCGATGCCCCATCCCCATGGACGGGACCTGGGCCGAGGCGCAAGCGTCGCCTTGTGAGCAGGAATTCGTAGCCCGGCAGGCGCCGGGTGCCCGGCGGTGCTGAGAGCAGGAACCCCCCCCGCCCGAACTCGCGACGCCTACTCCAGCTGAACGCTTCGGGCGTTAAAACGCAGCGAGAGGGCGCAGCGAGAGGGCTGCTGCCGGATCCTTCCCCTCGCAGACGGGGCGGGAGCCAGCGAGGGGCTTACGCCGGAGGGGCGAGGGGGGACGGCCGGGCGTCATCGGACTCCTCAGCACGATGCAAATTTGCTCATCAGCTGCAGATGAGGTACTTGGGTTGTGGTTGTCCTGTTCTTTGCATCCAGGGTTTTTAACAGGCAGAACAGAGCCCCGTGCTGATCAGGCTGGGTAAGAGGAGCCAGCCTGGCTCTTCCCTGGTCCGAGTGATGGTTACCTGGTGTCTGAGCCGTCCTTATGACTCAATTTGACATAAACACCAAGTTCGATCCAGGCTCCTGTGGCGCTTACAAAACGGGTGCCACGAAGCCACCCTGGGCCTCGAGGAGCATGAATTTCACCGGGGCATTTGAGCAGGCGTGTGTCCGCGTTTGGCTGAGCGTCTGTCTCGCGGGGAAGCAGCCGCCAGCCCTCTGTGGTGCGGCTGCAGCGGGGAC